GAATAATGAAAGTAATGCCACTTCTAATACTGCTGCACTAATTACTCCAACCAGGTCTACGCCTCTTGTTACCACAGAGCAAGGGAGAAAAAATAAGATTTCTGCTGGGCACCTACATCAACTGATATTGAGAAAACATTGCATGAATATAAAACTGACACATCAGGCTAAATGCCTCAGTTGCTAAAATCAGTTCAGTTCTCTTTCTCAACCCAAGATTCTCAGTATAAGTAATTTTAAGAACACCAAGGTTTGGTCTCTAAACAAAACCAGGAAAAACTGGAGTTCAGACTTTAATTACTGTGCAAACTCATAACCACTTTCCTTCTGATTGTTTTTGAGAACTAAAAAAGCATTTTAATGTCTTATATTTCTGTCTTTGTTATACTAAGTAAAGCTGGTATTTATAAAAGTTTCCTAAGGTCCTGTTAGTGGCCTGAGCTAGCACAAAAATTTTGCAGTTAGCAATCTCAGCATTACCATTTTCTTTACTGAAATTACAAAGATCAGCAGCCTTCCCTTACCTGTGCTGTAATGTACTCTCAGCTGACACAGTGCCTCAGATGTGGCTGATAATTGAAAGCATGTTGACTTTTCAAACTGAGAAGCAGACACCAGAGCAAACTCATTGGTACAGTTAGATAGTTTGCACTGTAACAGAGATATGACATTTTACCCTCTGAAACAGTATGGCCCCCTCTACTGAAATACATCCTTGGAGTTTCTGGCTGTGGCATGGTTTCTTATGCATGTAAAAAATTATGATTTTGTGTTCAAATATGAGCTACTTCATTACCTCTGTTTTCCTGATTACAGAGCTCAGCTTAGAGGAATTTGCTAAAGTGTTGCTCTTGGTTACTCATTAATAGCTTTGGGAGAAAAGTTTCTAACTTTCTGCTGAAGCCTAATAAGCATTTCTCAGATCATGGTGTGGCCTGGAAGAGAGATAATGCACCAGCAGAATCATGCAACTCTAGCTCATTATATACTTTTGTGCAGTTTAGTGCATTATGTCAAGTTTAGTCTTGCTTCGAAACATTTAGAATTGGATGGAATCAGAGGGTAGACTTCTTACTATTTGTATGAGTCTTGCTCTTCTTCTGTTTGTGGTGTGAAAATGAATCACAGAAATCCAGCATCATTGTTGATCTTTTGGAAAAGTCTTCTTCAGTCTGCTCTGCTCTTTGGGCTCCAAACTGCATCACTAAAGTCAGTGCAAGGAAAGAGCTTGAGGCTTTTTGGTGTTTGGATTTTGTATACTGTGTGATGCAGGGGGAATTTACAGGCTGAGAAAAAGCATGTGCAGTAGCAGAAGTGAACACGTTCTCCCAGTTACAAGCAAGAGAGAGTATTTAGTGCCAGTTAAGACTTTGATCCTGAAATAGAAGGGCTGCATAGAGAATTTCCTCTGTTGCTTTTTCTTGCATAACTTTTAATTCATGGGCTTTGAGATAATTTGGAGAACTGTATCCCTGGCAAACAACTGCTCAAACTCATGCAAATGCTGTAATTTGTTCTTTCCACGCATAAGGAACAAATGTGCTCTACTTAAGCAGTTTATAGTGACCAAATGATAGGCTTGTGGGATACAAAAGGTTCACACAAACTTTGCTTGGAAGGACTAAACTTTATGAGTAGAAGATTTGATTTCCCATAATTTATTTTCTGTTCTATCATTCTTAGTTTAATAGTTCTTCTGTTTTTCTCCTATGGGAAATGATGTTAGAAATATTGATGATAATGCATAGTTGGTGGATAAGTATCTCTACTGCCCTTATGGGATTATCAAAGGAAAGATGGGATCTCTCCCTTTCTCTTACACCTTATTTTGTTGTGGTAGTATTTTACTTGTTAAGAAGTTTTAACTTAATAGGGCACCTTGCAAACTAGAGCCCATATTTGTAGGTATAATTAAATATAACTATTTGACTCACCATTTCACTTAGAGTATTTCTAATTTTAAAATACTATTTCAATGTTTATTTAAAAGTCTGAAATGTTAGCCTTGAAAAGTGAAATACTTTATTTAGAGAACAGAAGTGCTCAGGCTGTTTCAGGTCTCAGGCTGATGTTAATGTTCCTTAACCTGTAGGGAAATGGGCTACCCCTATGAGTGAAAAGCCTTTTCCTTACTCTTCAGATGGCTAACTAGCATGCTAGCAGGATCAAAAACCTGTTGATCTTCATGTAATAAACTGAATTAATGTTTTAGCCATCCAAAATTTCAACTGTGAGCTTCCCTAATAGTCATGTCCAGAGTAAAAATTCTCCTTGTGTTTGTGTCCATGAGTAAAATGTTGTTTATATCTAACACCAGATACTAGTACAGTCTTCAGAAGGTACCTTGATGTTTGAAATTACTTGTTTCCAGAGGAATCTAATGTGCACTCAAACATGCTGTGTTTGCACTCTCGGCAGTCTGAAGTGCACAGATCCATCCCTGCTCAATTAACCGTGAAGGAGGCTAAGGGTTTGAACTCAGCAGTAAGGAAGGGCCATTAGCAAATTGCATTTTAGCTTGCTCATGTTAGACTATATTAAAAAACCTGATAATTAAAGATTATAATAAATAATAATTGGCAGAGGACTTTCTGAAAATGACAGAGAAAAAATATGGGTTTGGGTTTGTTGGGGGTTTTTTTTATGCTGGACATCTGGCACTTGGGGATGACATCATCTCTTTCAGAAGCGTTGTCCGGATAAGCAGTATATGGTTGACTTCATTTACATTGTGATCTGGTTGTTCTGTGATGAATAGAAACTAAAGCTACTGAAAAAACATTTAGTTTGCTTTCTTGCTTTGAAATACCAAACAATAAAGCTAACCCACAGAAAAATCTTGTATTACAGCTGAGTTCCCTAGATTTTTACAGGAAAACTTTCAGAGTGATTACAAGTTGGTCTTTTGCCACATTGTATTTTCTGTTGTCTTTACAGACACGACTCATCCCATCTGTATTTCATTTAGTAAATAGTCTTTGCAGGATTTTGATACCTAGAAAGTTACAAATTATCACAGTTCTCTACTGTGTTTTGAAAGAAAAAAAAAAGGGTTTTTTTCCCCCTTGTGTTTGATCTTAAAAATGTGCTGAAGCTGGAGACAATAGGATGGAAAAAATGCTGTCATGTTATTTAGGGGTTGTTTGAACAGTTAAAATTGTTTTGCTTTCTAGCATTGGTGTTTGTATTTTTCCCTTACATATATCCAGCAGATACAATGGCCTGTGATAGGTGTCTGAAGGACTGCATTCACAACTTGTGATTTTGGGATTACTTGAATAGAAAGTAATGTAATTTTTCCCCCCTACATTAGGTTTATTTATAATTTACTGTATAGGTGTAAATGCTCATCATTCTCTGAAAGTATGAGAGATGGTAAAGCAGAAATTGCAGTGAGCTCCATTGCTGTGACATCTCTAAGAGTCTTCCTCTAGTTCCCTGCTTCCCAGTGCTTCCCACCACCTTGTCTTAGGCCATGACATAGCAACATCTGTAGACAAGCTATACATCATTATTTACAACTGTAATTTTGTGGCTTTAATGTGAGAAAACCCCATAATTTCCAGCCTAGCCTGTTGGAATTCCCCCTGTCAGAACCCAGACAGAAGATATCTTGGGTGCCGAGATTCTGAGGCTGGGAGAAGTTGTTATGACCATCCCGCCTGACCTCATGGGTGTAGCTGCCTGGTTTATGCTAGAACAGGATTGCTGGAATTGGCACAGCTCAATTTACAGCTCTTTGCAGCAAACTCAAGCACCCAGAGCTGTTTGTGGGCAGACCTGCCCTGAGCTGCGGCCTCAGGCTGGCTCTGGAGCCAGAGCCCCCCTGTGTCTCTGCAGTGCTGGGTGTGTGCCCGTGGGGAGCAGCCTCCTCTGGGGGGGCTCACTGGGGTGCCTGCTGTCTATTCACAAGCTGTGGCATTGCCTCAAGCCCCTTTGACTCTGCCCAAGCAGCTCTGCCTGCTTTTTGTAATGGCTGAGCTACATATGCAGGTTGTTATAGAGTGCCTTGAGGTACGGGGGTTCCTATGTAGTTCATAATAACACCTTATATTGTCTCTAGTTAGGATAAGTGGTAAAAGGCAGTCACTTAGAAAAATGAAAACATGCCATAGCACTTCCTTTGTCAAGGCACATCTTATTTTTCTCTCTTTTTAGAGTTTACCTTTACATTGAGTACAATTTCTGTAACATGAGGTACAAACAATACATGTGCAAATTAGGGAAAAGTCTGCTTTGTATTTATGCTGTGGTAATTTTCCAAGGAAGCTGACTGAACTTCATTAAGGGATGACCTAATGTACTGTAAAGTAGTATTTGAATGTAAAATTCCCAATACTTTCCTGCTTTCCCTGATGAGGAGTTGATAATCCTTAGATAATACAGTTGAAAACTGAACCTTCTTGATCAGACAAAATTTCTATTTATGGTCCTTCAGTCTTTTAGTCCTAAAATACTTCTCAGAAAATTTTGTCTTAAAACTGTTGTTATTAGTTTTCACTCAGAATGACTGTTTTGTTACTGAATTCCAGGATATGTACTATAAATCAATTTTTTTCAAGAGGAATGTCATAGCTATGAATAATATAAATATGGTTGTTGTATGACTATACACAAATAAATATATTGCAATTTATATATACTTATATAGCATTTTTACATAATTGGTGTCATACATAAAAATAGATTGTATTATCAACATAAATAAACAGTTAAGTATTTTGCATGATGCAATAGTATTATATTGTACCCAGAAATTAAGAGACTGAGAACTGGCTAATTGAAGAAAACTGAATTTTGTATTTCACATTGAAGATACTAAGAGTGCATAAGGATAAGACATGAGAGAACATTAATACAGTACCTGAATAGTAATTGTATTCATGTATGCAGATACCAAACAATAAATTCTCCAGCAATGCAGAGTGATTTTTCTGTAGTATTTTAAACATTCTTATGGATTAGATGTAACTTTAATTTTTATATTAACTGTGTTTTAGATATCTGATATCCATGTTACTGGGGAGTCAGAGGACATGTCTGCTAAAGAGAGACTGCTCCTGTGGTCACAGCAAACAACAGAGGGTTATGCTGGAGTACGTTGTGAAAATTTCACTACCTGCTGGCGCGATGGAAGGTTATTTAATGCCATCATTCATAAATACAGGCAAGTACTCTGTTTGCTCCCTTGGAAAATGTTAATTACTGCATTTTAATATACAAAGAGAGAGGGCTCTATGGTTTATGCTGTAATAGAACTGCAGCTGTGGAGATGACACTGACTCTTCCTCGGTGATTTCCTGCTCCTTGCAGCCAAAGGATGCTTTGTTAACATTTGCATGTCCCTCCTTCCTCAGAGAAGTATTTCCAGGAATCCTGTACATCTTTCATGGGACATGTTCAAGCTGCTAGGAAACATGTTTTCAGAATTCAGTCTTCTCCACAGTCCTTTTTTGTCATACTGATGTTTAAGTGTAGGCAGGGCAGAGGCAGAACTGATCACCAAAGTCCAAAACTGCACTGCTGGTGAAAGCCATCAACTACTGTATGACTGTATGATATGTCTGAGATCCCTGTCTTCTTCCTTGTATGAATTTGCCCTTGGATGGCCCTGGAGTGTAGAGCTTCTTCAGTGTTTATGTGTAGAGCCCAGACCTACTCTGAGATGCATTTCCTGTAAAAAGGTATTCTCATGGAAAGTGTGACCAGCTGGCTTGAATGTTCTCAGTCTGAGAAGGGATTTGTGCTTTTGTGACCACACTCTTACAAAGTTAAGCAGACATTGTAGAGTCACTGGTGGGTGTGACCAGAGACTAAAGGTACAGGAGTTTAACTTGAAATGCAGCTGAAATCCAGGAGAGGATTTCTGATTCTGGATTCTAAGTGAGAATAAGTCTCTCTTGACAAAGCTGACTTTGGCATCAAGCTTGTCAGATTTAATCATTGATCTCCTCACTGTTCTCTCTTGGTTGGTGATGTGACTTTATTGTGTATTTTATTGGTTCCTGAATTGACTAAGAAGGTTTGTGTCTTGGAGGACCACGTGGGAGAGTATTCTTCCTGCTGGGTTAATCAGTGTGTACTAACTTGTCCTTCACTACATGAGGTTTTCTGGATTTATCATAGCATATGTAGTTTGTACTCTATGCCCTGGAGCATATAATAAGGAAGTTTAAGGGTACATAATTTCATTGGTATAATTTGAAGGAGTGTCCCCAGTAAAGGCCAATTTGTTTTTTCCTTGCACATCCAGTGAACAGGGCCTGGAGTAGATTATTTTGGTTTTGGATTTCCTCTTGTGGGATCACTTGGCCCACCACAGAAGGAGATCTAGGTAGACACAACATACACATGATCCTTCTGGGGATTAGGACACTAAAGTAAAATGGGAGAGAGCTGCAGCCTTTTTCACAGGCTGTATATAAAGGCTGCAAGCATCATGCACAATTCTCCCAGTCCCTGAGAAGCTGGCTGGGGCAGTGCATAATTCTGTGGTAAAACAAAGCTGCATCTCAGTCAATGAGGTTGTTTTCTGACATGCTTCTGTTCTGGGTAGCTGGTCAGGGAGGAGGTGCATGCCAGCAAGAAAGTCTCTTTTAGTAACATTGGCAAGACAAAAGGAAATAGCTGGCAGAAGACAAGGCTGTTTTACTTGGGACAGAACAACTAAAGGAATGAACATAGCACAGGCAAGTATTTGAAAAAATAAACAATATGAAAGATACAGAGGGATTGGACAGAGAAAAAAAAGGAAGAAACGTAATGAGATGAGTAATGGAAAATATTTCCCAGAGCTTCTTCAGAACCTTGTATCTCTTGCATAGAGCAGTGTAGACTTAACCGCTCAAACAACTGGTAATTATGGTACAGACCAGTTAATAAATAATGAAAATCTTGAATTTTGTCCTCCAGCTGTGCAAATGTTAATACCTTAGGATATGACTGAATTGCTTTGTTGGATGAGTGTTTCTGGCATTACCCTGTGAGTTTCATTCACAGTGTTTCAGCAGAGAAGAACAGGCACCTTTGACTCCAGTCTGTTGCACAAAGCAATTGATTCAGTGACTGGGGAGCAGAGTCCCCATTTTGTGTGCTTCTGTGCCAGTTTCCTTTGAGCTTAACTTCTGTCTGTAAACATAACTTCACTTAAGGATTTTGTCCTTCCCAGGAATGTTTACCAACCTTATCTAATGTGTTTTTGCTGTGAGAAGTTACAGGTTGTTGGATTCCGTTTCAAATGGAATGAGAGTGAGATTCTTCCTCTAATTTCAATGAGTTTCTATGTTTCTTTCCTTTTTTGTTTTGTACCATTAAAACAGAGAGAATAATTTCCAGCTATTGCTCACAAGAGAGGAATGATCTTCCCAAACAGTCATCTGTTATTTTTAACTATATTGTTTTACTCCAGAGACCTCTTTTAATGCTTCATTCGTCTTCTGAGCAATGAGTAGGTTAAACACTAAAAGATCTGCACAGTTCTGGCAGTGATTCTCCATTTGCTCTGTTTGTCTGTTTTAGTGGCTCCCAGTTTGTGGATCACAGGTGGTGTCAGGAGCTGGTCTGAGCATCCTGTGGGTGCTGCCAGCTGGTGTGCTCCACCAGGCTGGATGACCAGATGTGCCTGCCTGGGCTGTGGGGTGGTGGGACCATGGTGCTGCCACTGTGGAGCACCCCCGTGGGGACACAGCTGTCAGTTGTGTTGCAGTGTGGCATCCCCCACAGGTGTGCTGTGTCCACTGGAGATACTTCTCTGCAAAAGGGGGACAGGGCTCTTCGGGTGGGACATGACTTCCAGTCCTGGAAGGGCTTTAATTGGGCCCAGACCTTACTTTAAGGGCCTGGCATTTGGTGCTGTGACAGTAAAACCCAGAAGGCTCAAATACCCAGGTTTGTATCTAGAACTGCAGTTGTACTGAGCCACAGTAAGCTGGGTGTTGGCTGGAGGGCACATGCCATGTCAGGGCACAGCAGCAGGAGCTCCCTCAAGAGGTCCCTCAGGGCAGGGCCTGGCAGTCAGGGCACATTCCACTGCCCCAGGCAGGAGCAGGGCAGCCAGGGGGGCACCAGGGCAGCCCCAGCCCTCGCACTGGGACCTCCCTGGGCTGTGCTGGGGCTGGACTGCCACGTGTGCTGCCTGCAAGGTGGCTGCACCATTGCAGGGCCGTAGCTCAGCTGTGGGCCAGAGGCCAGAGCACCAGCAGCTCCCAGAGGACAGCCCTGGCCCACAGCCCTGGCACCAAGGCTGAGAGACCTTCTCTGGGTGCACCCTTGAGAGCACAAGCCATATGAGTCCATCACGATCCCTACAGTCAGTGGTCCATGAGACAGGGAGATGTCACTGTCCAGTTCCAGGTGACAGGATAGGAGTGGCAGGTCATAACTACCTCCTCTCCAGTCATACATGATTTTTTTAAATGGCAAGTACATACCAGCTTCTAGACTTCAGGAGATTGCTGAAGCTGTGAAGGGCTGGGCGAGGAGCTGGGCTGTGACTCAGCTCCAGCAGGCAGGGAGCCTCTCCCTTCAGCAGAACTGGCAGCCTGCCCTCTCTTAATGGCAGGCTAGAATTGTTCCTTTTGTTTTTCCCTCTTGACAGAGGATGTTAGCACCTTTTCATGCAAGCAAGCTGAGATTTGTGGTGCAGAACTGCAGGAATAGTGCATGGATAATATGCCATGTCTCCCTGCTCCCCCAGGAAGCATGGGAGATACTCCATAAGGCTGGGATTTCCCTGTCATCCCTGTTATACCCACTGCAGCATCTTGGTGGCCCAGTGGTTGACCCAGGTTCCTCCCTGCACCCACAGCTGTGCTGGCAGGGCTCCACCTGCAGTGTCAGGCAGGGATGTGGGCAGTGTAAGGTGCTGGAGCTCATACACTGGAGTCACTCACCCTCTCTCCTGAGCAAATGAAGGATATTTGTTTTCTGTCCCTTTGAGCAATGAGGGTTAGGTTCTCAGAGCTTCTCATAAAGGCCTTCAGTTACTTTCTCTCTCACTTCTGTTAGCAGTCTGAATGACTTGCCAGTGATTTTGTAGTGCCCTTTTAATCAAGGAAAGTAATTTTATGAATAATGGAAACGAGAGGGGAAAATTTCTTTATTTGAGGTACTTGGATCCATATACCACTTGATTTTTTTTCCCAACACCAAATGTAGAAAAAACTAATTTTTTTCTATGTGAGAAGATTCCTTACATTTTCAGCAGTTTGCAATGGTCCATGTTTACAGGGAAAGATTGGAGATTACTTGGCTGAAATTTTGTAGAGTATAGAAAGTTTCCATTTACATCCTGTACATGGTTAAATCCCTGGGAACAGGGCTTCACACTGACCTCAAGAACTGCCTTGGTGGGGGCTCCATTGCAGGCCCTGGAGTTTGGTTTAATCATATAATCACAGAATGGTTTGGGTTGGAAAGGACCTTAAAGATCACAGGGTTCCAACCTCCCTGCCATGGACAGGGACAGCTCCCATCTGACCAGGCTGCTCAGAGCCCCATCCAGCCTGGCCTTGAGCTGGGCACCCACAGCTCTGGGCCATGTGTTCCAGCGCCTCATCACCCTCACAGAAAGGAATTTCTTCCTAATATCAGATCTAAACCCACTCTGTTCTGTGGGAATTCTTGTCCTTACACAGACCAAATCAAATTATAACATTAAAAAGTGTGTTTTAATACGGGACATTACCAGATTTGTATTTGTATTTAAATATATAAGCTATCACACTGTTTTTTAACCTCCACATTTTCCTTCAGATATGTGATCAGGCCTTTAGAGAAAGCTACAGATACACCCAGGAGATTTAGAATATTCTGTATGTCTCATCTGTTATATCATTTGCCTTTTATAGCTTAATTTTTCATTGAACATGTATGTTATTTTATTCAATATGTTCTGTTGGAAGAAATCTGACTTCAGGCAGTTTTAAAATTACGTGATGTTCCTTCTGTGCCATCACATAGTATGCAGCAAAAACCTGTAACCAGACTTTGAAGCTGGAGGCAGACTTTAATCAGAGTGTAATGCCCAGATTTTTCTGAGATACTACCACCTACACCCTGGAATCTTCATTCTGCAGCATTATCACATTAAGTGTTTCTAGTCACTAGGCTGTTTTGGGTAAATGCTCAATTTCTCAACTTTTTTTTGGTTTTTTTTTTTTTTTGGTT